GGGGGGGGGGGGGGGGGGGTTGCCCGATGATAACATGATAAGAGAATCTCTTTCAAAAAACAAAGAAAAACTGCAATCGTTCCCTATTCTGCCTCTTCAGAACCTTGTGATCTTTGTGAAGAGAATTGTTGGTGGTCAGTCGCACTACGTGGGAAATCTAGGCAAGCCACTACATGTTCTTCCCTTGCCCTTGTACCATAGAAGAACTACTTATTTTCTCTTAGGTAGCGGTCAATCAGTTCACATCTATGGTCAATCAATTGGTCTGCAGAATTATTATTCTATATTTTTCATAGCCATATAACAGAGTTTACTGGAAGGGTCCCGCCTATCTTTTCCTCTATCCTCCTCTGATTCTATCAGAGTATATATCGTAAAATTATTTTCAGTAATGATTTGAAACCTAATACGCAACACTCAATGCAGCTATCATGCGTTATAATATGCATATATACATGCATTCATCTGTATATGTTTATGCATATCCAGAAAGAGAATTCTTTAAGTGGAATTAGACATTAAGACCACTGAGATTGGATATTCAGCTGATCTTGATGATTTATGTTCCTTCTTTTTCAGGGTGTCCTGAGCTGTAATCTGTCTAATGATGACTTTGTGTCGAAATTGCTGGAAAGAAGGTGGTCACTGAGTAGCCCAGAAGCCAAAATTCACCAAATAAGGATTTTTGGCCGACGGGAAGGTGGATTACATGGGAACATTTCCTTCCGCAATAATATGCAACCACATTTGAGTGAATGCACGTTAGACAAGAACCAACATCGTCCATCGTTTTATATTGTGAGGGATGATTTGCTACATCCATTGGTGAATGGTAACAAGGCGAGGAAATTGGATGCTCTGCTTCCTCTCCTTGAAGATAATTTTGTAACTGATGTTGTAAGATAGCATTCCCCTTAAATTTGCCAGTATCTCTATCTTGTTAAACTACAACTGCTGTTTATCACAACTTGGATATATTAAAGCTTTCATTTGAAAATTTGAAACGATCTTCAGAGCATTATACACCATTTTGTAAAAGATGGTATACTTAAGTTACCACATTGTGGGCTTTTCCTCTACATGATGTGCCATGTGTGAATTTGGCCAAAGTTAGTGGGCATTACTCAGAAACATTGACCCCCATTTCCTGATGACTGTTCTTTTCTGACGCTGTCCATCACTTCGTCCTTTAATTTGGTCACCTGGAAGTACTATGAGATAACTATGTATATCTGTTTGTGAAATAACCAGAACATTACCTTTCAAAAAAAAACCAGAACATCATTATGGTAACACGTAAACTGAACACATCCCAAAATCTTAGAATCCTGAGAGACTTTCAAAATCAAATAATATCTTATTCGCACGTGTCTAGGTTACATGTGGAGGTTGCCAAAGTGCTCATGCTGCTGCTGTTGGTATGTAAGGTCACGATTAAAAATAGAATAATTTCCTACACATCTTTCCTCGTGAATTGCTACCATGTTCTCCGTTTACAAGCATTAGAATGCTTTCTGAACGGTTGTTTCCTTGTAATGAAGCTGTTTCATGTGCTGAGATAGGATTAAGGTCCCACTTGCTACTTCGAGGAGAAGAGCCTGAAACTCTAACAGGCTACAATTTGATCTCGTCATTATATGGAAATGTCATTTATGTTCCTAGATCTCAATATGCCAGGAGGGAGGTTATGCTTGCCATGCATGCTGAGTCAGTTTCAGGAAGTTGTGGATCCGTTGAATGCCTCAGTGATTATCTGGAGGCTTTGTTTGCAAAACATGCATTGGGGAAACAGAACTTTTTGCAGGGGGATTCGATTAAATTTCCAGATAGAAAGGTTGTTATAATCAATGAAGGTGCAGGAGATGCTGTTGCCTTACTAGGTGATTAGCCATTTCTTGTTTTCTATTTCACAGCTATAATCATCTTTTAAAAAAATATATCAAAGTTTTACGTATGCAAATATAGATCACATCTCCTAGGTATTGACTTTCACATCTCCAATTTTACGTATGTTGTACAGTGTGCTAAGAGTTGTGAGTTTCTGTACGTGCTTGAGAGATAGAGAGAGAGAGAGAGAGTTGCAAGGGTCATAATGTGTGAATGTCCAAGACACAAACCTATGTCCTAAGGAGTGCCTTTTGTTTCTTTTCTTTAGACTCGTGCAAAGTGCCTAACTGGAATTATTATTTGAACCTTTCAGATAATGTGTGAAGATACCATACAAATCAGTTTTAAACCTAAAAACGCCCAGTTGGATGGTTATTTTGATGTTTTCCTAGTAAGTTTTATATGATGGTTTTTAGAAATTAAGATGGTCACATCATTTTTGAACCTTGTGTATATTTTCACTAATTTTTTTTTTAATGGAAAACAAATAGACGCCCTTCAATGTGTATTTATTTCCTCCCCTTTTACTTCCATAGACTGTACGTCATATTGTTTTCTTAACTTTGCTTTCACATTTCTTTCACAGTCCAGGTGCTCCACACTGATATTTTACAAATTTTCCCTTTAGGTGTCATGCGCCTAGTCCAGTATCTATCCCAAAACCATGTATTTGGAAGAAAACAGGCAATTGAAATTGTTGTAGACGCTGGTACTGGGACCACAGCTGTTGGTCTGGGTCTTGGAGCTTTATGTTTAGGGTGAGAAAAAAAAACATCTAGTTAAACGTCTTTTTGGTCATCGTGGTCTAAATTTATTTGCAGATATATTTTTTGTCAGTTTGAACCACTTGAGCTACAAACATGCCCAAGCAACTTAACAAGTACTATTATTTATCTTATGATAGTCTACCATGGAAGATTACTGCAGTTATGTTGGCTGACAAAATTGATGGATACAAAAAAGCTGAGGAAAGATTAATTTCCGAATTTATTAGAAGTTGCAACTCTCCACTTCTCAGTGCTGTTTTGAGCGAAGTGAATGATGGAGTCGTGCACTGGATGGAGCGCAGCTTCCCTAGAAAGTAATGATAAGTTGATACTTCTTTTGTTTAATAATTGCCTGGTGTTGTATTTTCCATCCATTTTCTTCATTTTTCATTTTTATTTTCCCTCAATAGTTGATGTAATCACCTTCCACCCCACCCACAAGCAGTAAATTAATCTAGATCAGACTGCAGGACACATTTAGCATTTACTGGTTCTTGCAATGCTTGTTCAATTTTTTTTTTTTTTAACCTGACAAATTCTCTCACTTTCATATATTTCCAAGTTCACAAGTTCGTTCTCCTTGAGCGCATCCGTAGTTTGCTGATGACTTTGCAAATTTAGGCATTGTTAGCAACTAGTACCCCAATACTATAACTCCATTGTTACACTGACTTGACATTCTAAATTGTCTCCTTCAGATTTGGCAATATATTACAAGGGGAAGTTCAAGAATGCCAAAAAATTGCCCAGCAAACTGGTATTCTGGTGGATCCTATATACACTTTAGCTGCTTGGAATCTAGCGACACAGCTCGCCCAAGATGCTTCAGAGGATGCAAAAGTGGTGATGCTTCATACCGGAGGCACATTAGGAATGTACGGATTGGCCCAGCGGTATAAATCGTACTTCCAAATGCTTAAAGGGGGAGTATCAAGCCACTTATAAATTACTAGGAATTAGAAAGTCTTAAAATTTCATTGGAAATACAATATAGGATTTTTTTTTCTTGCATGATTTTCGGTCCTTTTTCCTTGCAATATTGTACGAGGGCCTGTTTTCATTTATCTGTTGGCAAATTTATAGTAAATCAGCTGCTTTCATTTTGTTAGTAGTTACAGAACTGATGCAGCCAGCCCCATAGTCATTGCCATGAAACTTAAATAGAAGAATCCAGTACAAAATCAATCAACTTGGTCGGAAATTGCAAATTGAGTTCGAAAAATAGCTTTGGAATAAGTAGTTTCAATAGTTTTAACAGAAGGTGACAATTTAGCTCAACAGTATTAGATTTTGAGTCTTTTTGAGTGTGAGAGAAAGAGACGAGAACTTGGATTCTTCAGGCAAAAGCACCAATAAATCGACACATTCATCTCCTAAGAAAAATATATTTCTTCCTTATCTTCAACTTGCAAACCATCTGCTAAAAGTTACTACTAGACATGAAAATAAGAAGACATGTGATGCAGTACATAATCAAGATTAGTAGTTTCTTACTACAATTGTAATTTATCTTTTTGAGTTCTAATAGATTTTATCTTTTTA